GATAATAGGTTTTTGGCTTTATACTTTCGCATGCTAAACACGTATTGTGAAAAGTAGGCTTCAAAACGAATTTCTCGTTCGTAGTCATTTTGCGTTTGTAGTTGAGCATCTTCTAAGAAAAATAAAAGATACTCGAGCCAAGGAGCGATAAAATTTTAGGTACTGTATCTCAAATGCTGCTGCGATACCTCCCTTCATATTTGCTAACCAAAGCAAAATACCAAACCTCAGAGCAAATAGCATGCCTACTCACCATACTCTTAGTCCCTTTCTCTTCAAATGATAATAAAGTAGCAATACAAAACTATCTCTGACTTGAATTTGAACTCTCCACTTACGTAATTGCAATCAAGCACAAAAGCGCTATACTACCGAGCCGTCAGGGCGGTTGGGCAGTTAAACGTAAGTCAAACGCACTACTTCTCTTCTGAAAAATAGTGTGTGTTTTTTCCATATTTACTCAGGAGCGAAATCCGTGACTGGCCTATTTATGGTAATGCAAATTAGGCCAAATTGCGGCTTATGCTGAAGTTTAATGTAAGCTATATTTAGGACTTGCTGGTAAATCCCCACTAGAAGAGGCAATCGTTGACTCCCTTGCGGATCAGTATGCAGATTATCGCGTTGAGATCAAGCCATGGTGGAGAACTGTTATTGGAGAAAGTGAGGGTGATGTGGTAAGTTTAAAACGGCATGATTATCTGAGCTTCTTGCTTGTTTTTCCTTTTAAAAAACTGCAGATTAACTGTCCTTCTTGCTCTACAGGAGCAGCTGAAGATAGATGTCGTCCTTCCCGCTCGCGACAAATTTCTTGGTTTCATCACCAAATTTCTTAAAGAAAACAAATCTGGTCTGTGACACTCAAACCTCCTCAACGAATTAGATTAATTGCAAAGTCATTATATCTTTTAAAGGGTTCCTGGTTGGCGACTCGGTCACTTGGGTAGATGTGTTGATATCTGAACATTGCGCCACTATGGTAGAATCCTTCATACCAGAATTTCTTGACGGCTATCCTGAAGTAAGTTTTCTTCGCACAGGTTTTCAAAGTGGATCTTGCAACAAACACAATTCTTTAGGTAAAGAACCATATAGAAAAGGTTCGGGCCATTCCTAATTTGAAGAAATGGATCGAGACAAGGCCAAAAACTAAGTTTTGATTTGTGTGTTCTGAGTTTTGTTGAAAGTGATTTTATTAATGCTTTTGTTTCATTCTCTTCAATTTGATGAAGTTGACAATGTTTGTTTTTTTTTCGAAAAGGGACCAGCTTTTCTAAAATCAGTTCTCTAAAGATCGACAGTCTTTGACTATGGCATTGCTACAACCTTCTATTACCTATCTTCTTGCATCAACTGCATCTTTTACTCTTTAAATGCTGGAGTCTTAAGCTACTCAAATGATTTTCTTCAACAAGAAAGTTATAAAACATTCAAAAAGAAGTTTATAAAAGTGAAAATCAATCTATTCATAATGCTTTCCAAAATTTCTGCTCCTTGAAGGTTAATTTTGAGAAGATTATCGATAATGTACTAAATTGTAGTGTCAGTTTATACAATTTAACGCATGAAAAAATCTTCATCTTTGGGAAACATATGTCCGAAGTTAAAATAAAGTGTTTACAGAAAATTGCAGAACTATCTCGGAATTAGGTATAAGTGACGAAGTGTACTTTAGTACACATAAACGATAAGCTCAATGGAAGTCAAGTCTCTGTCTGCATACTGCCTTTTTAATGCGATAAAGCAGTATAGGCAGGAGGACCCAGCGAAGGACTACGATGTGCTTCTCAAAGGATTGAAAGCCTGTGGTGAAAGTGCCTCAAT